TTTTTTTTTTTTTTTTTTTTTTTTTTTTTTTTTTTTTTTTTTTTACTATTATTATTATTTGTGCTTTTTGTTTTGTTTTTTTATGTCTGAATTTGGTGGATATTTTACCTTTTGTTTTGCTTTTGATCCCATTGAGGCTAGGTAGTAGGTGCTGTAAATCTGAATCAACTTTATTTTTATTTATCTATATTTAACTCATCTTATAAAAATAAAATTTTCAAGAGATTATCATGAAATTTTTATGATTGACAGTAAAATGTACCTTGTTGGTATAGATAGAAATTTTTAAATGTTAAACATTTTCTTATTCATATATCTTTTATTCGAGTCTCTGGATAAAAAAAATTAACATCAAAATACATAAATAGTATTTTCTTGTGAAGTTAATAGAATAAAACTTCAAACAAGATAATAAGATATTCATAATTACACTATAAATTAAAATCCAAATATTAGTTATTTTAGTTTTATTATAAAATAAAATTTGCAAAAAATCAATAATTAATATTTTTTTTAAAAAAAGAACGCAAAAGGTGGAAATCGAATTCACCGAGATTATAGGTAAAGTGTGGCATGGATGCGAGTGACAGCTCATTTCTGAATTTATTTTTTTCAAAATGATATTAATTAATCAATTTATATAAAAAAAAAAAAAACAATAATAATTTATTTGATTTTTTTTTTTAAAAAAAAATAAAAATTGTTAATTGGGTTGGGGTGTGCAGAGGCTGAGAAAGCTGAATTGTTTTCACTTTTTGAAATTTGTTTTTATTTTTATTTTGTTTTTTATTTTAATTTATTTTCACGTTGTATCGAACCCTGTGCGAGTGCTTCCTTCCTGGCCACTTTCTCTCCCCCCTCTCATAATTAATAATTTCCATATTATTACTTATCATTCAAAAATAATACAAATCAATTAAAAATAAATAAAATGAAAGTTACTATCTACCCCAGATCTATTGATAACAGATATTGTCTTCTTTGAATTTTTCTTTTCGGGCTTTTCCCTCAAGACTTTAAAACGCATCTGCTAGGGGAAAGTTTCAACACCCTTATAAATGGTGGTTTGTTCTCCTCCCCAACCGCCCAAAGAAGACAATATCTGCTAGCGGTGGATTATCAGAACCAGACACTGGACAATGTGCTAGCCTTCTCGCTATTCCTCGAAGGAGGGTAGACACGAGGCGGTGTGCCAGTAAGGACGCTGGCCCCAACGGGGGTGGATTTGGGGGCGGTCCCACATTGATCGGAGGAAAGAAAGAGTGGCAACGAGAACGCTGGGCCTAGGGAGTTAGTTGGGGGAGAAGAACAAACCACTATTTATAAGGATGTGGAAACCTTGTCCTAGGAGACGCGTTTTAAAGCATTGAGGGGAAGTCCAAAAAGGAAAGCCCAAAGAAAATAATATATGCTAGCGGTGGATCTAGGGCATTACATATACCAACAAGTTGCATATTTATTTTCAGTGGCTCGTTTGTAAGAACTCCATGATAATTTTCTTGAGATATATATATATATATGAGTGAGGACAACGCATGCTAGATCCATTTGTATAGACGTGTAAGGATAGTTTTGGGTCGGAGAGTTGACGTTAACCGTAGTTATGTTAGGGCAGCAGCAGATTGAGTAGTTTGAATACTTTTTGGTGGGCCAAGCGGCAGCTTCTAAAACCTACCAATAAAATCCCCTTCTACCCTTCACTCGAAGCTTACAGCCATGGCTCACCATTGCTCTTCTCCGCCACTTTCCTCCGTTCTCTCTGTTTCCTTCTCTCACGCCCTACAATGAACCACAATCTCAACCTCTTCTTCCAAGAAGGAGATGGCGCCGCCGTATGCGCTTGATGCTCTGTTCTGCCCGGAGGAGCACTGGGAGGACCAAGAACAAGAACAAGAACAACAACGTTGTACTAATTTAACAAACGAGGATCTGTTCTGGGAAAACGATGAACTAATTTCTCTTCTTGCTCGTGAGAAGCCCAATGAACTCTTTCAAATCATTCAGACTAACCCTTCTCTCGCCGCCGCCCGACGAGCCGCCGTCGAGTGGATGCTGAACGTCAATACCCACTACTCCTTCTCTGTTCTCACGGCTGTTCTCGCCGTCGATTACTTCGATAAGTTCTTGTCGTTTTTTCATTTTCAAACAGATAAGCCATGGATGTTTCACCTCGCTGCTGTTGCTTGTCTCTCTCTTGCTGCCAAAGTGGAGGAGACCCATGTGCCTCTTTTGTTGGACCTTCAAGTATGTTTCCAGAAAAATCTTAATAACCCATCTGCCAAATCGTCGGATTTTGAATATGTTCATGATTCAATCTCTGTATAGGTTGAAGACAGTAGATATCTGTTTGAAGCCAAGACAATCAAGAAAATGGAGCTTCTTGTGCTCTCTACGCTTCAATGGCGGATGAATCCTGTTACCCCATTTTCTTTTGTGGATCATATGTCAAGAAGGCTTGGATTCAACGGCAATATCTGCCGGGAAATTCATTGGTGGTGTGAACGAACTATTCTCTCTGTTATTTTAGGTAAAAAAAATCCATTGCTCTGTTCTAATGATTTGTGTTCCTTTAACAAAAAACACCCATAAAAGTAAGCAAAATCAGTATCTTTTTGAATCACTCGTTTCTTTATTAACTTGCAGAGTCAGATTTCATGTCCTTTCTTCCTTCTGTAATGGCCACCGCCACAATGCTGCACGTTTTCAAAGCAATGGAGCCCCACCTCGACGTTGAATATGATTACCATCTTCTTAACATCCTCAAACTCGACAAGGTCTGTATTTCCCATTCTAATTCCGACCCAAATCGCCAAATCCAACAAATCGATTTGTCGGATAAGTTATAACCAAGTATTTGATGCTCTGTTTCAAAACAGGGGAATGTTGAGCAATGCTGTAAACTAATCTCGGATGCATCGAGAAGAAACAGCCACCATTTTAAAAAACGCAAATTTGGGTCGGTTCCGGGCAGTCCAAACGGTGTCATGGACGTGTCATTCAGCTCCGACAGCTCGAACGACTCGTGGTCGGTGGCTTCGTCGGTTTCATCCTCGCCGGAGCCATTAACAAAGAAAAACAGAGCATTGGATCAAAATTTCGCCGACATTCCTCGCTAGATCCAGTTTTTTCGTTTTCGTTCCCGTAATCCTTGTATGTTGAATAAGAATTAAGATCAATATTTTCTTGAATTCTGCAAGTTAAATTGCCTAACCATCTCTGCAGTTTATGCCCAAAAAACGCAGAGATGGTCGGCATTTTATCCGGATGCATAGGACATGAGAATTTAAAACAATGAAGAACAGCAGTTTCAGAGCTTCAATGATCTGTTTTAATTTCCATGGCTACGATGAACCGATCATAAAAATCAAATTTTTACAAATGGGTTTGGCTGAAAACGAATCAAAATAATATAATTTGAGGTAGAATGAATCAAAGCGAGTTGCTTTTTGTTTGCATGTGAATGGGGGGAAGAGGAAGAAGATTTTGTCGGCCACTTGGGGGTTGAGATTTGCAAGACATGATTTGGGGTTTAACCTGAAAATTTGGTAACGACAGCCATTGTGTTTGAAAAAATGCCTCAATCACTAGGGACCATTGAAGCTTTGGTTGATCACCCACCTCGCCCTTTCCCAGTTTTGGTTCTTAAAATCCCACCTACCATTTGGACACTATGGTCCCCTGTGTTCTTCTCTTTGTCTTCCTAAAAGTACTCACAATTTTGGTAGCTGGACAACGCACTCTTGTAGTAGAATCACAATCGCACTCTTATGGTAGCGGGATAATGATTGTACAACACATGTTCTAACCCAATAAACAAGTTAACCGCATGGAAGTTGAACTTTGCGGACAACCTTGATGTACATCTCATATTGACACAACATTAAAACAAGTAAAAGATGTTTGGAATAGACATGCCACCATAGACAACACGTTCTCGACAAAAATGACCTAGACATTCGAAATGGGTATCAAGAGAGTGGGGGATTGCGACAAGTGGAGATGGATGAGTATCCCTCTCAACAGGGAAAGAGTTAATGATGGGTAGAGGCATTTATTCTCAAATTTCCAAATCCAACCAACTAGTTCTCTTTCAAATTCAATGCTCATTCCAAATATTTAACTAACCAACTCACAAACAAAAACATTATTAAACAAAATCGATTGACATTAACGTTAAAATCTATATGAAAAACCAAATTCATAAAAATGAATGTTAAAAAAGAATTAGAATCAAAGTGAGAAGATTCATAAATGTTATAGCTTTTTATTTTGAATCCATAAATGTTATTAACTTAGGATATGCTTTTCTTCCACTTTAAATGTAAAAGAATCATGAATTTGAAGAACTTTTCCAAATATTATTTAATTTCCTTCCATTTAAAATTAATATTAAATGTTAGGATATGGAGTCTATGCTTACTTCAGGCACCTATTTGAAAGACATTTGGTAAAGATACGATACAAATATATATTTGTTAGATTATATTAGTAAATCTTGTAAATTGAAACCATATATATACCCGAACAATTCTCTCAAAATTTACTTTTCTGTAGTTGTACGAAGTCATCAATAAAATTTTTAGTCAATATTCCTCCTTAAATTTGTTGTTTGTGTTCATGAATTTTGTCTCAATTTTTTTTGTGTTTATCTTGATATCACGACTGTGTATTAGAGCTAACAACGGTATCGATCTAACATAATATTTATTCAATCTTCCCACTCATTATATTGACTAACCCAACATTTTAATTTGAGTCAATGCAAAGGGAAAAGAAAAAAAAGAAAAAGAAATATCAAACAATTTTGCTTTTAAGAGTGATGTTTTTTTTTTTTTGGGGTTTGCTTTGGATAATGGGAGAGGGAATTTCAACTATAAAAGGATAAAGATATGAATGTTTGACCCTTAAAGATGAGAGAGCCTAGAATCACATACATTCTTCACTCAAATCCTTTTTTTTTCCTTCTTTATATTTTCCTTTTTTGATTCATATTCTTTTGAAAAGAAATTATCCCGAGCTTAAATGTTGACATCTTTGATTCTATGTCTAAGTTGTTTTACCGTCAAAGTTTTCTTAAAAAAATTATCTGAACTTTGAACTTTGATAAAAAAGAAAGTGAATCTATTTATTAGAATTTCGTTCTAAAATTGTTAATGCATAATTTTCACTGATTTATACGATTTCTCTAATTGGAAGAATTCATATAATGTGATGTCCCACGTTGGTTGGGAGGAGAACGAAAGAGGAAATATCTGCTAGTTGTAGACCTAGATCTTTACAAATGGTATCAGAGCTAGACACCAAACTATGTGCCAATCTTTACAAATGGTATCAGAGCTATACACCGGACTATGTGCCAGCGAGGAGGCTGTTCCTCGAAGGAGGACACAAGACGGTGTGCCAGTAAGGATACTGGACTCTGAAGGGGGGTGGATTTGTTGGCAGTCCCACATCGATTGGAGAAATGAACGAGTACTAGTGAGGACGATGGGGGCCCTGAAAGGATAGATTGTGATGTCCCACGTCAGTTGGGAGGAGAATTAAACTCCGTGTGAAAATATTTTTCTAACGGACTCATTTCAAAGCAGAAGCCCGTTATTATTATTATTATTTTTTGTTTAATTTTTATAAAATTTGAACATATTTGTTTGCTTTGAAATAACTTAAAAAGGAAAAGATTTTCACCTCTTCTTTCAATGTACATTCTTTTTAATTCCTTTCTTTTTGATGTTTTCTATAAAATTGAACCACGATAATGACAAATATTTCCAAATATATTTTCATTAATAATTGTTATAATTCCTTTAAAAATATAAAAATTATTAATTATTAAAATTCTTGTCTCCCTAGAAATTCTAGAAAACACCCAAACATGACATTGATGAATACTATTTTATGGTCTCGACATCCTTTTAGAGATCACTTGATTTTACCCGAAAAAATAGTAAAGAAAACATCCAGTAAGGTACCCTATAGTTGTGGTCGGAAAATGCACGCATGTGTAATGTTCAACATGACTAACGAGAACTAAATCTATGATTGACTTTTGACTATTCTTTAATTTTCAGGGATAATAGTATGTATAGTACTTCTTTACACACGATCCATGTACTCCTAGACTTGGTTACGAGCTTGCATAAAAGAAGGAAACATCAAAACATGTGTCAGTACAATGCATGACTGGACAAGTAATTCATGACTAAATAATCATACAACTTGCACGATGTCACACTACTCAAAGATCCATTCAAGAATATGGTGCAACGAAAAATATATACATACTTAACAAAATGTTAATATCTCAAGAAACTAGTAACCATATCCATACATGATCATACACGCTCGTGATTGGCTTTTAACATTCAGCATGACTGATAAAACCTAAATTCATGACAAACCTTTGATACTCTGTTCACTCTCGAGTGTAATTGAATGCATAGTAGTTGTAAGACATAAAAACATTAGATTCTCTCAAGGGGCTTAGAATAGAAAGGGACAATTCAACACAAGTAGGGTGACGACCCCATTCCATTTAACTTATCTATTTGTAGTCTCTTCAATTCATGAATTCATTGCTTTTGTATATTTGTTTTATCTTCGATTGGCCCAAGACAGATGACTTAAATTTAGGACTCTCATTGAAATTTGATAGGTAAATTTGGACGGTATGGATTCGATAACTAATGACTTGAGTAAAACTTTCTTAACCCTTGTCTCACGTCTAAGGATGACTTTAATTTGATTATGTACTCCTTTTTGGTTAAATTGAGCTCACCTATTAGATCTTTAGTAGTCTAAAATAGCTAACAACCCAAGAATCAAACATACTCATACCCCAACTTAGCACGTAGAGCATTGGTTAGGTGATTGGGCTTGGCCTTATAGACTAGTCAGCAAAATTCCACCCTAAATTATTATTCATCAATATACATAGTGTATGTGCGGACTCTTGCCGCTCATAGACTTGATTAACTCTAAGGTTCCAGAGTGCGAACTTCTAGTTGTCCCCACATTGTACCACCATAAAAAGAGTATTGTCCCCAAGTAATACACATGTCATGAGTCCCTTAACCATAAACGACAAGAACATACTTGTCACTACTCAAATTTTAAGGTTTCAAAACTCGCATCGGGACTTACAAGACGAAAGCAGAAATAAATAAAAAAATAAAAAAAATGAAATTTCGATAAGAGTTTAAATCAAAATAAAAACAACACAAAAACTAAATACAAAATAAAATTCATTTGTAAGCTAATGTTGTTCAAATTTATTAGGGGGAAAATGAGTTTGGGATACAATTGCAAAATATAATACAAAAGACTCAAACACGAAGACAAATTGACATTTCGATTTCGAAACTACCCCTGTGACCCCCTCTTGAATGCTCCTTCATCTCGAACGATAACCTGTAAACACTTGAAAAAGGTTGGGGTAAGGGTTGAATATATATATATACACACACATAGTAAGCAACCTACTTATAAGCTTTCATCGCATCCATGACATAGTAAGCAACCTACTTATAAGCTTTCATTGCATCCATGACATAGTAAGCAACCTACTTATAAGCTTTCATCGCATCCATGACCTAGCAAGTGACCACGAGATTCACTCTAGCTTTACGTGTATTCCTCTTGCTGAGCTTTGCCTACGCAGTAGTAACCAATATTCGAAGATGAGGCACTACCTCCATATACTCCATACCAAGTGGGGAAAACATGGTGTGTGCCAACCTGCTTGTCATTATGGGAAATTAGCTTGCAAATCCATTCCACCAGCTATAAAGCTACCCAAGGTTAGGGGATGGTACCTCCGATATGTGCCAACTCCACTGGCTATCCACATGATCAACACCCTCCCATAGGACGAATCCTCCGTGTAGGGTACCCGCATGATCAATGCCCTACTACAAGACGGATCCACAGTACAAGGTAATCTATCGAACCATCGACTCACACATTCCTAACCAGTCTCCTGTTTATCTCAACGATATCGTACTAGAATGAAAAGGGAAGTGAGGGTCCTCAACACTATACCAATAATTATCGGCCTAGGAAGCTACCTTTGTTATTCTTAAATGCCATAGAGGTCTAGAAGTTTGTTAGGTTCTTAGATACATTCAAGCCGTTTAAATCTCTCTCTCATTTCTAGGAGATTTTAAATCAGCTCCTTTGCTAAACCAAATTTTGGACACATGAATCTGGACCTCTAATCACTCACGATCCTAGGGTGCAAGGTATTTGGTCACATGAATGTTTTTTTTATTCTTTCATATCAAGCATTTCTGTCGAAGGACAAATGGGTCATATCATTTTATGGTGGATCCGCGAATTATTGGGCCGAGCTGGATTTGAACCAGCGTAGACATATTGCCAACGAATTTAGTAATTAATCAATTGGATATTCGGGAGGGGAGTCAAAAACTCAGTAATTTGAAAAGTCATTTTGCATTATTTGATTTATTAGATCTTGACCTTTTATCGCTTCGGGCAAGGCTGCAAGCACTCAGAGTGCAGGCTGTCACCCACGGTCCCCTCTGAATGAATTGCTGCTGGATTTGAGACCGGCACGAGTTGGTCATACAAGTTGCTCAGCTAAGCCCTTCACAGGTGATGCATCAACATCTTGTAGTCAATCTCATTCCACAATTCCTTCCTCCATTATTCTTAGGATATCTTTTTTGGGGCATATCTTAACTAAACCGTTTGCATGGGCTCGTCGAGATGGGGTGTGAAGCGTCAGTACCTTTTTGAGAGTAGCCAAAGGGAAGAGCCGGCTCCCGGAACGGTCCGGTCCTTCCTCTATTCGCTTTGCTCATAGCGTACCGGTATTGAACAAGTGAAAAACAAGGAAAGACTCTTAGCAATACAGCGCAGCGCCTACTTGCTAACTAAGAGCTTTCGGGCCTACTGTCCTACTGACAGCTACTTACTCCGTCACCTCTACAACTCGGTAAAGTGTCTTTCTTTGCCCCTGCCCCTGAAGTAAAGAAAGATCAGCTCCGGAACAGGAGAGTCAAGAGGGGAAGGAGAGAAGAGGGAAGCGAAGCTTAGCGAGCTTTCTGCCGGCCAACCACTACATAAGCCGCCTGTATGAGACTTAGGAATTACCAGCCGCCTGTAAGCCTGATTAATTACTAGTGCTTCAGGCTTTGAAACAAAAGAGAAAGAGTAAATAAACGACTCTTCTTTCCTTCAAGTCGAGTCTCCTCCCTCTCACATCAGAAAGAGCTCTCTCAATGTCTAGTGGAGTAACTCGATGTTGAATTGAGGATCTAAGATTCTCGAACTCCGGTGTACGTAGGTAGGCTTAACTTGATAGTGAACACCGCTGATCGATATGAAATCAATGACTTAAAAGACAGATGCCGAGAGAAAGAGACTGATATATTACGTTGCGAAGAGAGATCGAAGACGCAGATTTTCTGACACAGTGTGGGCACTGGATGGAAAAGAGAAGAGAACAACCCACCAGAAGGGCATACCTCAGGAGCACCCCCGTCAAACATCGAGATGCACGAAGCCTATCGAACGAAAGCCTCATATCCCCTAGCGGAAGCCTTATCCCGTGGAGTAGGCTCTTCCATAAAAGCAGAGTTTACAATATGTATATGTATAGTAAGTAGTTTGCTCTCCTTGCACCATACTTCTTAAATGACCTTCGATTCGGCAACAAGAGTCGGTTAGCTCGAGGTAGTTTCTCTACCCCTTCTTCCTTCTTACCCTGAAAAAACACCAGCCAGTTTACCTCGTTCAAGAAAGAAATAGGAAAAGGTGTAGGAGCAGAGCAATGAAACCGATTGGATCATGAGCTTCTCTTTCATTTTCTTTTCTTACTGTTACATCTAAAGAGTCTTGACTTGTTGGAGGGAGAGGTGCGAGGTCAAGGTGCAGGGTTTCGGTTGAGGCTTTCTTTACTGGATGAATTAGCTACTGAATGAATTAGCTATGCCCCGGGCCTTTTGCTCTTTCTTCTAACGTCAAAGGTGGCCGGCCATTCGTCAACGCCCAAGAATCCGCTTGACATCTCAGCGGCGGGGTTGGATTATCGCTCACGATCCTAGGGTGCAAGGTCTACTAGAAATGTACTGACCTAGGTCAAACATATAAACCATATTAGTTGTAACGCTCTAATTTTAAGTGAGTTCTCTCATAAACCATATTAGTTGTAACGCTCTAATTTTAAGTGAGTTCTCTCATACATGCTGTGCTAGGAAGATTTTCTTATCAATCACCTAAATACGAAATCCATAATTTATATTTCAACTTACTCGTGTATGAAGTATGAGGAGATCTATTGAATTCTTAGGATAGACTAGATGACTAAACACGAACTTCTAACTCAAGGTTACTATGTTGACTCCTCGAGTCTCTTAGTCTAGGAACACTCTTACCTTTGCTTTGCTTAAGGGACTCGCCTTGAACTAAGTAATCATCGAGTCAACCTAACTCTAATACCCTAACTTTTTAGGGATAAACACGCCCTATAGAAAGGGCAAGCAGTCAAATACCTAGAATACACCTACAATATTTGAGAGATAATGCCCAACAATCCCGGCTGAGCACAAATTACAATGGCTCATCCTAGGCTTATAATATAACATCCATCATAAATCTCATAGTGGTAATTTCTTACCTCCATATTGCCCAACTCACATGCATATTAGCTTTTAAGCAAGCTAAAAAGCATAAAACAATATGCTACTCAAGATTACATACTCATTACATACTCATCCAAGGACTTCGACATTCGACATTCTTTGGACATTCGACATTCTTTCATATCGAAATTCTTTCGAAGTCCGAATTTTCTAACCACCTAAGGTAAAGAAAGAATTCTCATATGCTAGCCCGTGGTAGGTGCTCCAAAAAGTTCTAAAATGGAACAAAAAAACAAACCAACGGACCTCCAACTACACCCACACGCGTAAAAAAGAGATGAATCACATTAGTCCACACGCGTAAAAAGAGATGAATCACATTAGTCCACACGCGTAAAAAGAGATGAATCACATTAGTCTAGAAAATGATCATGAGTTTATAATCATAGAATACTATATTAATTGGTATGAGGCCTTTTGAGGGAGGCCAAAGCAAAGCCATGAGAGCTTATGCTTAATATCATTGTGGAGAGTCGTGTTCATCAATTATTTCCATTTCACCTTAGAACACTATGTCGAGTTGCGATCAATTTTGGTTCCATTATTTCGCACACTATATACAAAACTTCAGCTTCCCAGTTGGAACCAGACATTGAATATAAAACAAAAGCATTCACAGTTCATATTACATTACATAATCCATACTTCACTGCTTCGAATCAGTCATCGTTCCTCTCTTTCCCCTTACCAAAAATCGCATCCTTAGCAGAACGAAGAGTATTCGCCACAGCAGCGGCTGCACTACCCAACACCCCACGCCCTTGGCTATCATCTCCTTGCTTTCGAGTTAAATGAACAACCGTTGTCTTTTCATTTCTGGGCTCCTCGCTCTGCCCCGGCGGTGACCGCTCATCGACTGTTTCAACCTTCGTCTCAATGGCTCCTTCTTCATTTATCTTCTCGGACCCCTTCATACAAGACACAATTAGAGGAACTAAGTTGGGTTATGATCATTAGTGATCGAAGATGTAGGAATGGCTTAATAATACCTGCGATTGGTGCATGCTGTGGAGCTTCCAACAAAATTCAAACGCTTTACCAAGAACTTTAGATTCGAAATTCTCAAGAGATGTTCATGAGTTTCAAAGGGATGGAATGAAATGTTATAATGATATAATTTGTTTAATTTAGGGATGGTGCGGTAGACACGTACGGGATGTGGTGGCAGCTGCCTAGTTACATCATGAAGGAGACACCCAAAACGTGTAGACACATGGCTATGTACTTGTAATTTCAAGGAACCATCTTGGGGAATTTTTTTTTAGATCCATTCGGTAGTTGGCATGTGGTGAGATCCCACATCGGTTGGAGAGGAGAACGAAATATTCTTTATAAAAGTTTGGAAACCTCTTCTCCACCACAATGCATTTTAAAAATCTTGAGGGAAAGTTCGAAAAGGAAAGCTAAAAAATGATAATATCTGCTAGCTGTGAGCGTGTGACGTTATTGTACATGGTTTTATACATTTTTTTTTTCCTATTTTCTCTTGCATGTTGCTCCACCAATTTGACTTGATTTATGCCAAACATTTTGTAATGTTGAATAATTCTTCGCTTGTGTAACAGGTAAAAAAAAACCTAATCGTGGAAAAAGGCGCGAAAATTCCTACTTGTATGTTTGAGAGGAATACAATGGTAACTAAAACGTCTAGCTCTAAAATACCCTACCGAACTTAGAAAAAAATTACTTAGTCGTGGAAAAAAGCTCGAGAATTTTTACTAGTATGTTCGAGAGGAATACAATGAAATAGGGATAAAAGTATCAAAACATCATTAAACTATAATAGAAATATTAAAAACTATTTATGAATGACATTACTCCATGACCTCTCCTAGTGTAATCGGGTATAAAGCTCTTGCATTTATTTGAAAAATGTTAAATATAGGATGAGTATTTGAAATAGGGAGTGACCTGATTGTTCAGGTATTCACATACTATATGTATCATCATTGGTGGGACCTAATTATATGGCTGTTCCATGGGGTTGAATGCATAATACTTTTTTACACATGAATTACTAACGTGTGCATGAATCCATTACGCCGGCTAGTTAACGTACACCGAAAGTATGATATGGACTAACGCACATTCACACTACTGAAAACCGACAAAAAGGAAAGAAACACAAATAATATCGCATGTATGAGGTCTCATTAAACACGTACGAAGTCCTATATTAAAAATTAAAACAAAAAATTATGTTTTAATGAAATGATAGGTAAATTATATACCAGACTGTTTAGGCTCCTCTTGGTATACTTAGAACAACATTTATTTACATCATGAATTAAACTAATATATTTTAATGTGAAAAATCCTATCTTTTATTCTTAAAATAATAATAATAATAATAATAATAATAATAATAATAATAATAATAATAATAATAATAATAATAAAACATGTAAGACATATAGAAACAATATAAGAATAATAATTAAAGAAAAAGGGTGGTTGACATTTTATTTTTATACTTCTATTATTAGATATTAGACAAATTAGGCCTGATCCAAGATTAAGATCGAAAAACACTCCCAATCCGTAAATATTAATTTATTGAAATTTAATTTAGAATTTAAATAATACTAAAATTAGAATAAAAATGAAGTATAAAACACACCGATCACTAACGAAGGAATGGGGAGGCAAAGATCAATTAAGAAATAAAAGTGAGAGTGACAAGAGTTTTGTTGGGGGAGAGTAGTGTGCCTGTGCAAATAGACACATTATCTATCGATTCATTTAGACCAGGAAAAGTAGCTTTTAATTCATTTATACATTGCTTCTCTGTCTATTTGCACAGACACAAAGGGTCAAAATGGTTTTGTTGAAATTATCAACCTTGTTGTGTATGATGTTGTTTAGCCCTTCCCTTTCAGGAGCTACTTCTCCTACAAATATATTTATCCTTGCCGGTCAGAGCAACATGGCTGGTCGAGGTGGGGTAGAGAACAATACAGAGGGGATTCTTGTGTGGGATGGGAAAGTCCCATTAGATTGTCAATCCGACCCATCCATCCTACGGTTGAACCCTGAGCGCCAGTGGGAGATAGCACATGAACCTCTCCATTTGGGGATTGACATCGGCAAAACTCCAGGGATTGGTCCAGGAATAGCATTTGCTCACGAGTTCATAGCTAAAGCTGGAAAAAAGGCAGGCGTCGTGGGTTTAGTTCCTTGTGCTAGAGGTGGCACTTTAATTGAACAATGGAGTAAAAACCCTAGCAATACTAGTGCAACTTTTTACCAAAATTTCATTGAACGAATTAAAACATCAGAAAAAGAAGGTGGGGTTGTGCGTGCTTTGTTTTGGTATCAAGGAGAGAGCGATGCGGCTATGAGTGACACTGCTCATAGATACAAAGACAACTTAAAGAAGTTCATCACCGACATCCGCAATGATATAAAGCCTAGATTTTTACCTGTCATTATTGTTAAGATATCCATGTATGACTTTTTTATGAAGCACGATACTCATGATTTGCCAGCAGTGAGAGCAGCTGAAGATGCAGTCCAAAAAGAGCTTCCAGACATCATTACTATCGACTCTTGGGAGTTGCCTATAAACTTTACCACATATGAAGGCTTTAGCTGGGATCATGGTCATTTTAATAGTGCAACTGAGATTGCTTTGGGTAAATGGTTGGCTGATACCTATCTCTCCCACTATGGTCATTTACTTTGATCCTATTATGTGATACCTTATCTCTCCCACTATGGTCATTTACTTTGATCCTATTATGTGTCATTCTTTAATCCCTATTGATTGATTTGATACCCATCTCTCCCACTATGGTCATTTACTTTGATCCTATTATGTGTTATTCTTTAATCCCTATTGATTGATATGTTATTCTATCTCAATAAAATCCTTTAAATCACATCTTTGTTGAGCTTTAACCTACTTAATACTTACACTTTGATTCAATATTATTTGTCGTTTCTTATTTAAATAATCAAACTTTGTTCATAATAGGATATAAAATTTAGGAATATAAATTGTAACAGGTTCATAATAAAAAACAAAATTTTTAGTAGACAAATTATCGATTCATTCTCACTAACGAGACAACTTGTACTTTAAAACAAGACTATCGGCCTAGTTAACAAAAGAAAAGCAAAAGCACTATCTCTTCCCATGTGTCCTTGACTACATCACGAAGCAAACTGATCGTACCTCTTTTTGTACACAAATTTAAAAGCATACCTAGAAGCAAGTGAACCTTCAAGGTATCAATAAACGAACATGCAAGTTAAAGTTCTTAACCCTATCGAGGTGTCAACAAATACTTGGATTATATAACTCAATTCTAAGGCTTCAAAATTGTAAATAGACAATGTACTTTAGAATTACATAGAAAAAAAAAATTATTAACTCAGTTGAGGAATGTGTTTGAATAGTGTAGTATGACCAATTTCACTTCACTCAATGCATTACAGCTGCTTTACGTGAGAATGAACTAGTCGAGCAAGTTAATGATTGACCCTCCTACCCATGCAAAATATATGAAAGATAGTTAAGGTTTGAATGATCTTGCGCTAGTTAAGATTTCGAAGTGTCTACTTGAAAATGTTCGTTTTGTGCATGAAATGTCCGTCTTGGATAAGAATTTTGTTAACTAACCCTTTTGGCGGGTATGACTTTTCATGGAAATGAAACAGAGGTCGAAAGCATAGAAAGGTTGATTGTTGAACACAAATCTTACATTTGTAGGAACTGTAGCCGACAAGCTTTCTCGATATATTCTAACGATATGAAATTTAATTTCCTTTACAAAATCTTCATCGTTATGAATCAAACATAGGTGCATAGGCCAAGCCAGCTACCTAAGTTTGACACATCAAGAGCAATACATAGGGTCTAGAGTATAGTTTGTAGTCTACTAGGTCAAGGATGCAATAAGTGCTTACTATGCTTACAAGTAGATTGTTCATTGGGTATATTTTTATACTCACTCCTTTTCCCTTTCTTTTTAAGGTGTTCATAGGCACATAAGGAGCAATACACCTAGGGTCTAGAGTATAGTTTGTAGTCTATTAGGTCAAGGATGCAATAAGTGATTACAAGTAGATTGTTCATTGGGTATATTTTTATACTCACTTCTTTTCCCTTTCTTTTTAAGGTGTTCATAGGCTGTTAGTCGAGGTGGAGGAGCGTTAGAGAGTTGTGTGGTCACTATAGAGTCATTTTAGAGCGTTAGTCCATTTTTGTGTATTTGGATTTGTAACCGTACCCTAAACCTATTTTCTTGTTTCTAATAAATTTAAAGAATTTGGTCTTATAATTAGATTTTTTTTATATTTAATTTTTGTGATGTGGTCTTATTTTAATTTAATTTTGTCATATTTACATCTTTTATTTTTATTTCACAATTGTTTTATTTTATTTTTATTTTTATTTGCTTTTGTCTTGGTTCGAGATTCAAAATCTAAAAAATCGGGCCGTGATACATTAATATAAAAGTAGTCTGAGTTTTATGTAAACTCTCTCTTAGTATAGACAGTTGTACAATTCTATGACTCAGCTCAACGACATGCCTCACCAAGACCTGGTATGAAATCAAACCTTATGTAGTAGTATATGATATTTTGTAAGAACTATATGAATATATATGAATATTATGTATATTTTGAGTTATCTAGTAGTTACAATATCATCTTAGGACGCTAAAAGGTGAAAGTTAATCCTATAACATTTATTATGGATTAGAGTTGTAGTGTTTAGATATAGTGATGAGATCGAGAGGGGTTGAGTAACTCTTCTTCGGAAGACAGAAAAGTTAATGCGGCAGAGTGTGAGATTCTCTACCCATGCATTTGGGCATGAGATACTTTAAGGCCCAATACCAAATTACCAATGACCTACCTTCCCGTGACCATAATTCTAGTAGTCAAGCATGCCTCCGTGCTTATTGTCACGGTCGTACTTTTCAACCATGCAGCATCGTGATATTGACATGCTCACAACAAGCTTTAAGGAGAACTTAAACCTCATTCACATTTTTGCTCGAATTTGTGGCTTCGTTTAACCTTAGGCGAGGTTCGTCTTTGCAAACTAAACACAACTTGTGCAGAATCCAACCTTTTTCAGCCACACACACTACTCTGCGAGCATATTCAATCGCCTGCAACTCTAGTCGACTTGCCTCCACATTAGGCCAAGTCATCCAGCTTGGTCTTGCCTCTACTATAGGCCAAGGACTCTCGAAAGTAACGTCACATCTCATCATCATCTAGGTTTCCATCGAACAATCCATGCATTGTGATGTCGTCTCATGTCTCGTACCAACTCAACCATCACGACTTTCTCGGGCATATCAATTGAAGCTGACCTATGTGCGTTCCATCTCGTCAACCATATCCTAAATATCCATCCATCTAGGTTCTATCGAGGCATTGGACCCTCTTGTGTCCATTCTAAATCATTTACGAAATTTGTTCTGAATAGCGGGTGCATAGCAAAACCTTCGACACATCGGTTGGGGCACAACATCGACACACTCGATCGTCCAATATGTCCTTGAAAGACCCTTTTCAAATGAAGGCGCTCGAGACGTTCATCCCACAATAATCGCCCATGTTGTGACACATGTATGTGCAATATGGTAGCTAACTTAGGCCATAGGGCCTAAGGATGGTGGAGAGCTGACATCATACTCCTCTATATTACATTTTGAGACATTTCCAATCTTTCTCGAGTGGATGTCATTTTGACGAGTTGTCATATGCCCCGTGTAGCGTTCATTGATTTTTCATTTGATACCAACCTTGGTGAGCTTTCATCTTTTATATAGACGGACTGAACTTCAGAGACACATGTCGAAACTCATATAGAAACACCAACTTTTGAGGTTATGACCCTCTTCGAGCTTGTCTTCGACACTCATGTCACCTCATTCTCTCAAACCTTGCGTATGCAGCAACTTTGCTTGAATGCACACCCATGGTGTGTTGGATGATTCAACGTACTTCTCGGTCGCATCATGGCACTTCTCCATCTTAGCCCTCACATAACTACATGGGTGCCACATGAGGTTCGCCCCTTGTCTATCTTGCATGTGGAGATCACAACCTAGTTTTTCTTAGTGAGGTTGTGACATTCTCTTCCACTTAATCTAGTCATCAACCTTGATGACTTTCTCGAGGGCACAATCGTATCGTTGATTGTGATACTCTTCCGCCTGATGACGACCCGAATAACGGACTAACTGCTCACTTCACCCAATGACTTGTTCATGTTTTCAGAATGAATACGGAAACTTGCGCACTACTTATGGGCTATCCTACTATTGAACATTCACTCCGTCTTCGAGATTCGCAACAAAGCTATGACAAAACACAACTTGTACAATTTTTGTGGGCTATCCCTCCAGCCCTTAGAATACATTATTGAACTTAAAAACACCAAGCTAAAGAATAATGCCGACAATAGATCCTACTTTTTTTTCTTTAAAAACAAGACTGCTACTCCATGTATGTTATGACAATTTTGTGTGAAAAATTATTTAAAGATCATTTTATCATTTTTCAATAGATCTAAATATCCATAAACTTGTAATGACAGTGGAACCACTATTGAAATAGGGATAAACACATCATCTAACTAGACTCCAAAATGTACTAGAATCCAAAGATTAAAACAGCACTAAACTACCATAATAGAAATCCTAAAAACTATCTATCAATGACATTATTCATTATTCATGGGCTCTGCTGGTGGGATCGTCTACACATGAAGCTCTTGGATTTACATGAAAAATGTTCAACATAGGATGAGTATTTAAAATATAAGTGACCCAATTGTTTAGGTTAGAAAATGTATTCACATTCAACATGTATCATCATTGGTGGGACCTAATTTTATGGCTTTTCCTTGGGCTCTACTTCATCTTTCGAGTAGAGTTGAATGTTTAATACTTCTTTACACATGGATCACAGACGTTTGCATGAATCTACAATGTCGACTAGCTAACATATACCCTAGGCCAGACTATGGACCAGCGCACATTCACACTATTGAAACTGACTGAAAGAAACAAATACGAATAATATTGCATGTATGAGGTCCCATTAAACACATCTGAGGTCCCTATTAAAAATTATTGTTCAATGAAATGATGGATACAATACTTCCATATTAGTCGTGTTGTAAATTCTAGACGAGAAGTACATACATATTCATGGTATTTCATTCGTTCTTATCATACATGATTCTGTTAGGATCGCACAACAACGCACACACTTGATCTAGATGAACACAAAGAACAAGATAGAGAAAATGCAAGGAGAACTCTGGCTAAAAGATTTATATTGATGACTTCAAGTATGTACAGTCACAATGTCTTACATCAACATCATAATTAAAGATAGAAGAAATTACATACACATACACAATTGCTCATTGAGATCACATAACATAAATAATAGCATTTAAATAGGACCAAAGAGTACGTGTAATTAATGCATAATGCATCTAAAAAATTCATCAAATCTAGCTCATTGATGATTTAGGCTCTCATTAGAACTCTTAAGTTCTCTTTGGTCAAACGTCCCTAAGTTTAGTTTCACTTGGTTTAGTTTAACCTATGATACTCACCGATTGGTTTAGTTTAACCTATGATACTCACCGATTGAGAAGAACTATGTTAGAGCTTATTTGTGGAGCGAACAAAACTTAAATCCTAAGGAAATCTAATTTCATGCAAATTATATCACACAAAAACTATTATTAAAATTCTGATGATGAACATAGATATTTACACATTCTTCAAATTAAAATAAGAAATATAATCAATTATAATTTATTTACCTCATAAATTAAGCTAATATATTTTAATGTCTAAATATTCTATTTTTATTCTAAAAAAAAAAAGACATGTAAGACAAGATTCGTTAA